ACACACACACACACACACACACACACACACACACACACACACACACAGTAGCATCTACCACAGTCGATCTGTGTATTTGTCTCAGCATGGTACAGGCCCGGAGGACTGTGTGTGGAGGTGCATATATGAAGCATCCACCCCTCTCTGTCCCAGTCAAAGACAGCTGCAGACGCTGACAACACATGAAATTGTGGATTGTGGATTTGGTGTGCGTGTGTGTGTGTGTGTATTCTGTGTCCGAGGACACACCTATGAATCGGGGGACATCCCTACGCCTTCAATCAAATATTTGCCGTCAATATTTAGGCCTTCTCATTCCCTCCTCAACGGGCCCCCGCCTGCTCCTTCCGCTCATTAGGTGGTGGTGTTGTGATTTGATGGTTCTCGCCGGGAGGTTCCACAAGTGCAGAACTGGTCTCAATCAGCTGTACAGATGGCTGAAGTGGTAATCCGTGTGAAATGAAATGTTGACAGTGTTATAGTGTTCTATGTAACAGGGAGGAATAATACCGGTGCGGTCGATAACAATAACAGGTGAGGGATATGGAGGGGGTAAAGGTGTGTGTGTGTGTGTGTGTGTGTGTTACACCTGTGTGTGTATTCCCATTGTGTGAAGTAGTTCCCACAGTGTATGCATCAACGTATAAGAGGAGTATAAAGGATTTGGGAGACATACTCTTGTCCACTAAGCCATATTGATTTAGCCGTTTTTTAATAAAAAAACGCTGCTTTCAAGAAACAACGTCCTGGTTGCTCTGAATAATCCACAGACTTCACTGTGGCAAGTTGTCGATGGAACTTCTTTATATCAAAGAAATAGTCCCAATGAAGTTACTCAAGGACCTAGGGACTGCTGAGTTAGTAAAATGTAAAGTTCCGGTGCTTTGAGGAGCACAAACAAAGTTCCATTGACTTTGGATTTACCATTACGGTATAATTGGTCACCAATTTAGGTGAAATTTCTTCTGAGAATGTCTCTTATGTACGGGTTTAAACACATCTAATTGTGATCAATAAGCTAGCAGTTAGCTTGAAGGCTCAAACAATAATCTTCTCTGCACTGTCTCTATTTGTGTGTCTATATGCATACACAATATAACTCACGATATGGCTCAGTGAAGTTGGAGTTTACCAACCAAAACAGACTTTAGGAGTCACTCTGTCCAACTGGAGCAAAACACAATGACGGCAAACACGGAGAGCCATCTCTCTGGCATAAGGCGGCCATCTTCAGAGTAATAAAAGCTGTGGCCCTTCAGTCACCGGTGGACATTCTATCTGGTCTTTTTTATAAGTCAGGGTATAATGAAACCCCCCGTAAATCTTTTCTGACCTTTTTGCAGCCACTGCCTTGTATCCATATGATTATCTGTTCTTCCTTCACCACCTCGCCTGTATTTCTCACCAGTTTGAGTAGTAAACATGAGCAACATGCCCCCCCGCCCCTCGCTGCTCTCTTTTGACGCTCTTACATCCCTCAGAGTTGAGTGGACTGTTGCAGTGATTTCTAAACCCAACTTTTTCCTGCCCTGTTGTCAATTTCTTGTTGGATCTGTAACATTCTTTAAACAGCAGCACAACAGAACGATACGTCGTTCATGAGACAGAACGAAACAAACCGCCCCCCCTGTTAGAAATCAACAAATCGCCTTCTGCTTATTCCCTGTTACACATCATACAACCACGTCACTTTCCAGAGTCGGCTATGGACTGCAAGAAAGGAACTGGGATGGGGTGGTGGGCTGAATATAAAAAGAAAAAAGCAAAACCCTATTAATATTTTCTTTAGACCCGCCCCTTAACGTAATAAAAACTGCAACAGATACACTGTAGACTGTTGATATAACTCGTTTAACCGTGTACCCATATTTAAATATCTTTATAGAACAACAATATAGTCACCAATGCACACATAGGTTAAAATGGAAATTGCTCAATTTATGGCAAACTGAAATGTTGAACATTCCTGTCAATCTATTTTCTAATAAAGAGCTACGCGCCAACTGGTAACTATCTTTTATCCCTCTTTTTGAACCATTTATCCATTAATATGAATTAACTATTGGAACTGTTATCCATTACCTCTAGTTAATTATTGGAACTGTTTTTCTGTTAACAGTTTGAACAAATTTGCTAGTTTGCTAGTTTTCGGCCGAGTGTTCAGGTGTCGTAGCTGACTCAATACGTGGATATGCATCTTTTATTTTCCTAAGTAATGGTATTGCTGGAGATGTAGGTACAAATACAGTATTCAAAAGTAACATATCTCCCCATTTCATATTTCAAGATACAAAAACAAACAGCATGAAGATTTGGTTCTCCCCAAGGTGGAAACTTGTGGACTTGGTTCAACAGGGACCCCTTAAAGATCTGAAAGGGTGTTGCAGACCAAAGACCAATAATGTTGAGTAGCAGAGCACGACCAAAACATACGGGTCAGATCTGAGTGAGTGATGTAAATCCTTCAATTGAATTAGTGAAAGGCTGATGAGGAGGTGACACGTTTTAACACTCCCTTCCAATAGTCATGTTAACTGCATGTGTAGTTCCTTTTCACCACAGGATTGGATTATCTGAGATGAATGAGGCGCTCCTATCTGATAATGAATGATATTTTCCCAAGCGAGGTGAGGTGGAAGAAAAAGGAATTGAGGGAAATTGTTTTTTTTTTTATAAAATGCCACACTTGGACATAACCTAAAAATATTGGTTTTGATGGCTTAAAGCTGGGAAATGTGTCATTGTTAGGGCATTGTAGACCTACATCTTCCCACTTAGAAAAGTAGAGTCACGGGTTGATGTAGGGAGTAGGTGATTGTTTCCGAATACAGATGCTTCAGAACTGGATCCGTATTGAAGTAGAAAGTACAACAGGGTTCGATGTGTAACGAGATTGTTTCATAGGAAGTGAGGAAAAAAACATTCCTGAGTCGCCTTCCTCCTGTGTACCCCCTGTACACTGCGCTAGTACCCCCGGTGTACAAGTACCTCTGGCTGGGAATCACTGCACAGCACTGGGAGGAATATAACTGGAGCTAAAGGTTTGCGAGTGCTTATTTCGTGATATCAAACGTTCCCTTTGAGAGCATTGTGAAACATTTAGTGCTCAGAACATACTAAAAACTAAATGTAATTGATAAAATAAGTGTTTTACATTGCAGATCCATCATTTCTGTTACTATATATCTGTGTCCTCCAAAACAACAGCTGCAAAGCCAAAACCTCACACTTTTTACATTTTTGGTGGCGACCACTGTCTGAATGATCAGATGTGCCCGTGTGTGTGTGTTGAGGGACCGCTCCGAGAAGGCGAGCGCTGCAACAGGAAACACTTAGGATTGTGGCCTTTTCTGGATTACATTGGTTGCGCTGTTGCCAAGACAACAGCAATTAGAAAAGAATTGGTTACCAAGCAGAGAGTGGTTATGTTTCCGTAGCAACCGAGGTCAGGGAGAAGGCTCTGGGTTTACCTGATTCTTAAGAATAAGACAGATATGACATATTTGTTATTGCACTAAGTACCGGGAGCCGTTGGGTTCATGTGGCGATATATTATCTGTGTTTGCGTTGAAGACTCCAGCAGAGACTTTAACTCCATTCTGCCCTGCTTCCTTATTGGCTCTTAAACATCTGTGGGGAAAGTGAATAGCTGATGATTGCTTACTTTAGACACAAGGCTTACATTTAGTGCAGAGAACTGAAAGGACATTATCCCTGGCGGCGTTTGATTGGGTAAAAAAAAAAACATAAATGTGTCTTGAAGCACAAAAGACAAACAGACCCTTGAACATGAGAGGGGAAGCACTCGCCAGCGTTCACACAAACACAGTGCTGCACATTTCCCATAGGCAATGTGTCGGCCGAGAGGACAACAGACAGTGTCCTCCTATACGGACGCCTGTCTGTGCCTGCCGTGTGCGCTTCCTGTAATTAGTTGATTATCACAGCATGCTGTCACACACCAGCTTACACAAACACGCCATAATGACAATGACATAACACGGCCTACTTAAACCTCGATCTGCGAGGTAGCATTTGCTTTGCTTGTGCACAAACTAAGCGGCTGCATAATACAGTCGCTGCGCTCGCAGCGCATCGATCCCCGGCCTTCTCCACCTCCCGTCTCCCACCAATTGTTTCATCTCTCCATCCGTAAACACCTTCTTCCGCCTCTACCTTGAACCCCCGCCAGTGTGTCTCTTAGACACAAACACACACGGCTCCCAGGTCCACTGCAGTGTGTAACCAGAGGCTCGGAGAACACTTAATCCCTCAGCACCTGCTCTCCTTACCACCATGACCTCTTGCAGCTGCTCGGATGTGCGCTTTTCGCCTTCTTTTTTTTGCGGTACTTCCGACCTTGCATGCGCATCAGGAGTGGGTAGTGTTTTAGTCCATTTGTGTTTCTGTAGATTATCTGCGTGCGCTCGCGTGTTTTTAACAACACATTTGAGCTAAACAGATGTCCCCCCTCGCAACACAGATGGACCCTGATATAAAATAGGACGCTATATGCTGCAGGAGAACAGACTGCAGGGATCAATATTCAAATTAAATATGATGACACTTACACTGCGTCTTGTCTGCTCTCCGTATGTGTTACAGCTCCGTGCTCACATCGTTTCAGGTTCATTACGAGGCTCCGTTTAAGATATGCAGCGACATGTTGGGAACTAGTGTCGGTACAGCTAGTAAAGAAATGGATTATTAGATAGGTTACAGGCAAAGCATGATGGGAAAAGCACTGAATCTGTTGTATGACAACACACAATGTACTTCAGGTTTCTTGCCACGCCAAGCTTTACCCTGTGAAGTATTAGTACTCTCATGAGGGCTTACAAATGAATCGAACCACAGCTGTTGTGTACAACTAACTGCATACACTACAATGCAAAAATAAAATCTCTATCCTTCTGCAACCTTCTACTTTCTGCAAAGCTAAAAAAAAAAAAAAAAAAAAAAATCAACAGAGTAAAATTTAGACAATTTTATTGGAATAAAATATATACAAGTGGTAATATGTAACAACGTGTAAAAGCAATATAATATAAAATGACCTATTTCCCCATCCCCAAAAAATAAAATGTGTTGGACAGCTGGTCATGCACCAACTGGACAAGCAATTTCGGATATGAATGTGCAGCTTTTCAGTGCATGGTAGGAAAAAAGAAAACACCTCTGGTTCTTTCTCAGAGGTCCGGCTACCTGCGGCTTCCCACCTCCGTCGCACATCAATCACTCTCTCTCTACGTCTCCATTTACACTTATTCCAGGCTCTCCTCCCCTACAGCTCCCTCTTTGTTCTGTGGAGGAAGGGGCAAAGAAGAGGCGAAGCGGCGCGGACCAAAGGAAAAAGGCAGAATTGCTGCCTTCTCACGGAGCGGGAGGAGTGGTGGAAGTGGAGTGACCACTGTGTGATGGAGGGGGACAGAGGCGAGGAACAGTGGTTTTCCATCAGGAGGAGAACGCAGGGAGAGGACCGCTGATTTTCTCTGGAGGAGGAGGAGAGGGCGACTAACGGAACAACTGTTTTGTGCCTCCTGATGGAGGATGTGTTTTGTTGTATTGTCACCAGTGGGCGCTAACAGAAGCCCAGCGCTCCTGCAATTTGATTCCGAGTGCGAGTTTACTTTGAGTCACTCGCTTGCACGCGAACACAAGCTCCTCACGCGCAGACGTGCCTCATGTGGAAGTTGACCACGTACTCGGCGTTGGTGCGCTGCACAGAGATGGCGAAGGGTTCGAAGGGGTGGAAGGTGAAGGCGACCAGGCGCCGCACGGCGTGATTTACCGGCCGTCCCAGCAGTCCGGCCTGGATCTTGAACTTCAGCAGGCCGGAGTCCCGCGCGTAAAACCTGGTGGGTGTGGGGGGGGGGGGGGAAATAGTGCCGTTAAATCCTTAATTTAGTCCAGTCTCTTGGAGAAATGAGTAGACAAGAGAAAAGAAAGGAAAGCGAGCCAACACATGGTAGTGTCAGCATGCCATCTGTCAAACGCCGTCTATCAGAAACGCTCTGAGACAAGAAGCCTCTAACAAAACTACTGTCAGCTATGTCAGAATGCATTATAAACATGTGCTGTAATCTATATTCATCTGTCATATCAAACAGATTGGGATGTCTGGCAGACGTTTTCAGTCAAAGCTGAACACAAAGATCAGGATTATTTCATTCTCATGTCCACCTCTGGGACTGAATGGAAGTGTTCACAGGCAAAGATCTTAACGGAGCGCAAATAAACCTCGGAGCTCTGATCAGGGTAACAGTGTCATAATTCTGCCACATTTAATTACTGTTTTTTACATTACAGATCAATGTGAACATTATTTTTCAATTAATCGCTTATTCAGTTATATGACCATTGTGAAAAATGCCCATTCACAATATCGCTGAACGCCTAAAATTGATTGTTTTGTCCGATTGTTTCGTCCAAATTATACAATTATATATTCAAAAATAATAAAGCAACGATTTTCATTTGAGACATGACTGAATTCTTTTATGTGGGTGTCCAAATCAGAGTTGATGGTGTCGATTCCTCAGTGTGTGCTGTTGACAGAGAGAGCTGAGTTTGCTGCTGCTAATTCTGTTCTTCTTCCTGCATCCGGCACAGTCATTTGAAGCGACAGTGAGGCATCGGATGGAAGGAAGAACTACAGGTTGTGTGTTCTAGTCTCCGAGCTGGAGACTAGGAAGTGTGCGCTCTAGATGCGACTCAAAAACAGAACTTCCTTGTTCTCTCCCGATTGGCATCCCAAAATAGGAGTGCAGAGGACGGTACGGACATGGACACATTTTACAGTGTTTTTGGCTGACTCGGATATTCAGCCTCATTCATTTGAGCCAGAGTATGTGGCCCGAGGATATGGCCGGTGGAGACCCTCCGGGTGTCAGAAGCTTGTGCTCAATGCATCCTGGTACATGTAGGCACTGCAGGCACAGCTCAATGCCCGGGAGAACGCAGCTTTTTAAGGTCAACACAGCACGTGCTGAGGAATGCGTTACTTCAACGGTAAGGCTTCAACTGTTGCCATGGTAATCGACGTTCAATTAAGTATTCCAATGCATCTGCTGTTTTTTTTAATATATGCTTTACCCCAAAAATCTGAAATCAGAGCCCATGTAATAAGGAATAGTGATATCACTAGGGGTGGAAGGTATAGTAAGTATGAATTTTGACTATAACGTGTAATATTAACTCCCTAACAATAGCTCTCAGCATCTTATTATAGATTATTAAAATGACTAATGCTTACATTTTTTATTTTATTTTATCAAAGCAACTATACAAATACAACAATACAATAACTTATTTTCTTTTCATTTGAACTGTGGGTTTTCTGCAAATAAACTATAGATGATGATAAAGTAAAAACTTGACATTAGAGTGTTTACATTGACTTGGGGACGGTTGAAATGATGCCATGCAATTGCTATAGCAGTGCTTTACACCTTCAGAAGCATCATTATTGACATATAAGGACAAATGAATAAACGGCGATATTTACCGTTACCCTCCACGCTTCAAAATGATACAGTGGGACATTTTAGGCCAAAGACCTAAATTCCACATTATTCGTTATGCATCAACATGAATTATTATGTGTTATTCTCAGACGGATAGCACTGTTTGTTGTGTGTGTGTGTGTGTGTGTGTGTGTGTGTGTGTGCTGGTCTTGAGTCCGTACCTGATGGGGTGATCTCCGCAGGTCTTGGGCCTCTCCATTACGGACACCCACTTGTCATCATAGCTGAAGAGGGAGAGGTCGAGGTAAGGACTGCTGCTGTAGGACTGGGCGCTGATGGGCAGCTGACCCAGCAGCCGACGCACTGCCTCGGTGTGCCCGCCGTATTTGGCGTTCACTATGGTGTCCTTGAATCTAAGGCACAGCGAAACGGGGGTTTTAAACAGCAACAGGGGTCTTCATGAGTGAGTCTCTATTGGCACTGTGGCCATAAAAGTGCTTCTGTGAGCCCAAAGTGGTCCTCCTCTTGGTTTGAAGATCAGAGAGGAGTGAACGGTCTTGTTTTTCACTATGGTTTTGCTTCGGAGAGAAGCTGTGTGTTTATTCAGAGCAATTTCTTTCAAATTGAATAATAGTCCCAAGTATCACTACACACTACCAACACTCAGGCGCGAGTTTCAGTCTTTCCGCTCACCTTGTTTTGTGCTCCACACATGCAGACCCGCGGCTCTCTCTACACGTGCTTAGTGGCCATGTAATACCCAGTGAACTGGGCTGGTGCTAGCCAGTTGTAAATGGTACAAATCTGGTTTGCTGAATGTGCTCGCCAGCTTTCAATTTCTCCTCTCCTTCTTCCCGACATCAGTTTTCACCACTCGAAAATCTAATTCTAAGCCCTTTGCCTCGCTCAAACTACCCTTTATCGTGTCCTGCCCCCCCCCCGCTTTGTCTGGTCCTCCCTCTTCACCTTCCACAGAGAGGTTTTGTCACCTACACTGACGAGTCGAACCGCCAAATTCAATCACAGCTCCTCCAGCCATGCTGACTGTCTTAATGTCTCCCTGCTATATCTAGATTAAGTCCTAAAACTTCCCCCTCCTCCAGGCAATCACTGCTGATCCGCTTCCCTTCCTGACCGCCTTCTTCAAATCCTCCCTGACATTTGGCTGCACACAATCAGGTTCGCTTCTTTTTCCCCACCTCTTTCATTCAGATGAGATCTCCGGACCCTGCAGTTTGCCAGCACAATTAAGTTCAAACTGAAATACATTCAATTTCTTTTGCAGAAATAGATTTGGCATTTGAATTCAATAATCTAATATCCGGCCGCACACGTGACATTTCTCCTCTCCGTACCTTCTCTGGACCTGCCGGGCGTAGTTGTTGGAGGAAGCGGAACAGGGGAACTGGACGGCCTGGCTGTGCAGCGTGGCGTTTCGGAACAGGTCGCAGAAATTCTCAAAGAGCTCCAGCAGCTGGTCGGAGGTGTTCTCAAAGACGGCCAGCACCTCCGTGGACACCATGTTGTACACCACGAAGAACGACGGCTGCGGGAGAAAGAGAAGAGGGTGAAGATTGGGAGAAAAGGGTGATACAATCCACACAGGTGAAATACAGAGGACAGCCAGGAATGCTGAGGTAGTAATTATTGTGTCACAAATCATGTCAGGCTTCGGCTTCTATGCAAGTTTATAATGACCGAGATTATTCATATATTCTCCATTGGTGAGACCTAAATAGCTGCTTTGCAAGGAACTCAGAGAGCAGAGACTTCCTGCAAATAAAAACATAAAGTAATTAGTTACTATATTTTGTTTGTCGTTATGGATGAGTAGCAGGACTGAAGAGAATCTGTAAGATAAACGTCTCCTTGGAGACGTGAAAGAAGAATCCCTGCATTGCAGCACAAACAACAAAAGAAACGAGAGAAGCAGGAGAGAGTAACAAGGAGAGCACTGGGAGGAATTCAGATATGTGTGTGAGAGTGTGTGTGTGTCATTACCTGCGAGGGGTCGGTGACTCTGAGTGTGACCACGTCTTCGCTGGTATATTTAATGAAGAGGTGATGCTCATCCAACAGCTGCATTTTCCACATCCTCAACCTCCTCAGCTGATCAAAAAACTGGAAGAATCTGAGGACAGCAGTAGATGAGCATCTAATATCAGTACATTATGGAAATGGTACTTGACAGACTGAAGAGCTAATGTACATTATAATGTACCTATATACATACATACATACATATATATACACACGTATATATATATACGTATATATATATATACACGTATATATACATACATACATATATATATACGTATATATATACGTATATATATATATATATATATATATATACATATACAGTGGGTACGGAAAGTATTCAGACCCCTTTAAATTTTTAACTCTTTGCTTCATTGCAGCCATTTGCTAAAATCAAAAAAGTTCATTTTATTTCTCATTAATGTACACTCGGCACCCCATCTTGACAGAAAAAAACAGAAATGTAGAAATTTTTGCAAATTTATTAAAAAAGAAAAACTGAAATATCACATGGTCATAAGTATTCAGACCCTTTGCTCAGTATTGAGTAGAAGCACCCTTTTGAGCTAGTACAGCCATGAGTCTTCTTGGGAATGATGCAACAACCTTTTCACACCTGGATTTGGGGATCCTCTGCCATTCTTCCTTGCAGATCCTCTCCAGTTCCGTCAAGTTGGATGGGGAACGTTGGTGGACAGCCATTTTCAGGTCTCTCCAGAGATGCTCAATTGGGTTTAGGTCAGGGCTCTGGCTGGGCCAGTCAAGAATGGTCACAGAGTTGTTCCGAAGCCACTCCTTTGTTATTTTAGCTGTGTGCTTAGGGTCATTGTCTTGTTGGAAGGTGAACCTTCGGCCCAGTCTGAGGTCCAGAGCACTCTGGAAGAGGTTTTCTTCCAGGATATCTCTGTACTTGGCCACATTCATCTGTCCTTCAATTGCAACCAGTCGTCCTGTCCCTGCAGCTGAAAAACACCCCCATAGCATGATGCTGCCACCACCATGTTTCACTGTTGGGATTGTATTGGGCAGGTGATGAGCAGTGCCTGGTTTTCTCCACACATACCGCTTAGAATTAATGCCAAAAAGTTCAATCTTGGTCTCATCAGACCAGAGCAACTTATTTCTCATAGTCTGTGCGGGCTATGCGGGCTTTCATATGTCTTGCACTGAGGAGAGGCTTCCGTCGGGCCACTCTGCCATAAAGCCCCGACTGGTGGAGGGCTGCAGTGATAGTTGACTTTGTGGAACTTTCTCCCATCTCCCTACTGCATCTCTGGAGCTCAGCCAAAGTGATCTTTGGGTTCTTCTTTACCTCTCTCACCAAGGCTCTTCTTCCACGATTGCTCAGTTTGGCTGGACGGCCAGGTCTAGGAAGAGTTCTGGTCG